AAATGTTAATATAATTGTTTCTTTGTTTATAATAATAATAATAATAATAATAATAATAATAAAAATAACATAAAAAGTCTTCAAAAATTCTCTTACTTTCTGTACATTTCACCATTGAATTACCTAAGCATTTCAGAAATATGCTGTTTTTGTGCATACACTTTCATCTCACGTCATACTTCCAGACCTAAATGATTAATCAGCTTGTTTTTGTCAACAAAAGTACAACAATTTAAGAAACATTTTAAACTTACATTTCAAATGGATTGTGAGTCTGATTTTTATTTTTGACAACTCACAGTATTTTCTGTTTTTTTGTACATTATTATTATTATTATTATTATTATTATTATTATTATTATTATTGTTGTTGTTGTTGTTGTTGTTGTTTTTGTTTTTGATGATATTGTTAATTCTGTTTTTGATATTTTTAACACCTTAACCGGGACGTTAACCTGATGCTGCCGCTTCACCTCGATTTCCCCTTTGCGGGACTATAAAGCCAATTTCTTTCCCAAAATAGGCATACTATTTGCTAGGATGTTGTATTTTTATGTTAGCACAGGATAATGTTTGTTTATTTGTTTATTTATTTATTTATTTATATTTTTTATTGGAATTTGCAGACATTTTTAAGAAGTCCAATAATAATGGGAAGAATTTCTATTTGTTTTTTGTTATGTGTATTGTATACTCTTCTGGTTATTTTAAGATGACATGTTTGCATGCTAAAACTGTTAAAACAAGGAAAATGTTCCTGTGCAGTAAAGTTGTTTTACGTGATGAGATGTAAACATTTTATGTACTTCTAAGCACATCTTCAATCTAATAAACGTGTTCACCCTGTCGAGAATAATAACTGACGAGTTTTTCAAGGATCCTTTACATTGTCCTCATGTCCGAAACAAAAAAGACTGGGTTGTATATAAAACTGTTTCCGAGTTAATGGAGCTTTTGCGTTCATGGCACAGTTTGGTTTTGACTTCAAGTTACATTTAAATTGCTTTCTGCGGGATTTCGATCAGCGAGAGCGGCTTTCAAACTGAGAACTTTCTGAGAATGGCTCCGTCTTTGCAGGTGGGACCAGAACCACGGGGAGAAACTGGAGGACTCGGAGCTCCTCGGTGTTTCTACTCGGACGCATTTGGATCTCTCCAATCTACGCATATTTGTCCAGCGGAATTTTAATGTAAAGTACGAAGACATCTAATGACAAGAGAGAAAAGAGAATTGATTTTACTCCGCATGTCTCACGCCTTCGACAGAAGTAAAGAAATCTGGTACCCTTTCCATGAGCAGGATTTTTTATGTATCTGTTTTCTAAATATTTTTTTTTCTATTATTTCAATCTATCTAAGAACCACGGAGAACCAGAGGAATGATCTCTTATATAACGATGTAAATTGTAGCGATTACAAAAATGTCATAATATTCAGCTTAAAGTTATGTTACAAACGAACAGTGTTTATGGCCGCACAATTACAGAAAACATGAGCGGACCAACCGAATTATATGAAACAAACAATTAATGAGATGGCCGAATCAATTAATAAAATATGAAACAGTAGAATGTGCCGTTACGTGTTTTATTGGAGTCTAAAATTGCTCTCCCATGATATTATCCATAGAGGTGCTCAATTTTTTTTAAACTTAACACTAAACACGAAAAAAAAAAAAAAAAAAAAATCAAAAAAGATTTTGATTTTTTCCCCCTGAATTCGCCACCCGTTTTTTTTTTATTTTTATTTTTTTAGTGTTACAACCATAAACAAATCACTTTTTAACGACTTTTTCTGCAAACTGACACTTAAATCCTTAAAAAAATACCAGTTGATAAGAATAAAAGTGCAACACAAATAAATAGACATAACGGATAACATTCAGGAAACAACTGTCACCAGCTTCTTTTAAAATAAAACGGGAAACTTGCACCTTGATGATTCTATGTTACAACTGTTTTGCTTTTTGAACAGTTATTTAAAAATGAAATAATGTTTCGCTTTGTTTTTAAAATTTCAGTAGAGCATAAATGCACTAAGTAACGTGATAAGCTGCTGGGAAATCATATATTAATTGTTCATTTAATTCATAAAACTCAAACAGACACAATAAACCTATCTCAGCACCAACAACACGAAAATACTTTATTTTTACTTTCACTTCCAAGACTTGCGAGTTTTAATCCTATATTTGTTTTATTTATTTTATTTAAAGATAACATATCGTTTATTTAGCAAATTAATTAAATACTACTATCACGATGCAGACGCATTCCATGCACTCTTCTAGAAGCAAGATAAAATTCCAATACCACACATTTCTTTCCACAATCTGTCTGAAATCAAACACAAAGGGGAATAAGAAAACTCAATCAAAATCAAAGAGAAATAAATAATCATATCTTAAAATGACCTTACCTGCTTCAATAGTAACTCTGGTTCCTTTACCCCAAACATCAAGAGCATCACAGTGCTACATCTCAATGGACTCCCTCAACAAAAACATGAAGCAATAAATAAATAAATAAAAATAATGCAATAACTCATATGGTCAGAAAAATACACATTAATCATATAAAGCAGACTAAGACTTTCAGATTTGTAAGAAAAGTTTATGATAAACTTTCAGTTTAATTTGATTTGTATGCTGAAAATATTATAAGGTTAGATGTAATATCTGTGTTGTATGATATTAAATAGTAAGTTAAAAATAGTCTAAGTAAATTAGCAAAATAAAATTATTAAAGAATTGTCTTACTTTACGCATAAATTTTAAATAGGTGATTTTTTGTCTTTTTCTCTGCCTTTTAAGCAGATTAATCTCAGAGTTTTGAGATGAGGTTTTTGTATTGGTGTATATCTCTGTGCCCCCCAGCCCATCACAGCGACAAACCCTATGACAAAAACTTAAACCACAGGGCAAAATGCAAAATAACAATATCCAACAAAAACTACAGACATTAGATTTAGATTCATAAATATTGCTCAATTATATTCATGAGTTCACAAAGGCTGTTTAGAATATATTATTTCAAACAAAGTTAGACAGAATTGTTTTATTAGTTTTCTGATTATTTTTCAGACTAATGGATGTGCTCAGATATCATAACTTAAGGCACAGAAATATAGTAAACATTAGGGTTCTAGCTTCATGTTCTCTGAAGATTTTTGTGTAAAGTTGTTCAACCATTATCTGGGTCATCAGAGGCCTGGTGCCTATGTCCACCTGTTAACGGACAAAAGGCTGTGTACAACCATGCATGCACACATCAACTCCTAAGGACACTTTAGAGAGACAGTCTTGTTTTTGGACGGGGAGGAAGTTGGAGCACCCAGAGAGGACTCCCACATGCACAGGAAGAACATCTAGACAGGAACTGATTGCTGCAAGGCAACAGAGCAACCAGCTACACTACTGTGCAGTAAATTTGAATAATATTAAGGTCAATATTGTTTGGCTTAACCCTCCTGTTATGTTCGTTTCTGAGGTACAGCAATAATGTTCGCGGGTCAATTTGACCCAGGGAGTGTATAGTGTCAGAAACCAAAAAATCCTCCAAATCTTTTTTTGTGTCTGATTATTAACTCCTATACTAACTATTTCAATCAATATTTGTGCAATTATGTTTTTTTATTCCTCACAAATAAAGGATCAATGACAGCAATTTACTCATTTGGACAATAAAAAATGTGATTTAAATTTTTTTTATGCCCACTGAAAAACCTAAACACAAAATAACACTAAAAACACTAATAACACTATTATCTGTTGATAGAAACTGCAAGGCAGTTTCTATCAACAGAGTGGTCGGTTTACTGTAGTAAATTCTCGAGTGCCAAAGCTTTACTGCTTGCACGCGATACATGTTTAGGATTAAACAGGCCATACTGAGTATTTGTGTGAGCATGTCGGTGTTTTGTCGCACTGTGCGGTATCTGACACAGTAATAAACAGCTGTGTCCTCAGGCTGGAGAGTCTGTCCTGTTATCGTTATTGTTCCTGCAGAAGTGTCTCTGTTGCTGCTGAACTTGTTCTTCAGAGCATTATTTTGAGCTAAGTTCCCATTGTACCACATGGTTAAAATCCAGTCCAGTGTTTTTCCATCACGCTGTCTGATCCAACTTGTTGCATAGCTGCTATCGGTCAACGAATAACCAGAGACCCGACAGGTGATGCTCAAAGACCCTCCAGGCTGAACGATCTTTGAGTCTGGCTGGATGAGCTCAACACAAAACACACCTGTAGGGACATATAAACATTGAAACCATCGTTCAGATAAACACCAGTGTTCCTAAAGCTATTTTTATGGGTGAGAGAGAGAAACTCCTCACCAGATGCAGCTGTCAGCAGCAGCATCAACGCGACAGAGACCATGGCTGGAGTCAAAGTTGAACTGGTAGAAGGACCTCAGACTTGAAATCCACCCTTCACTGGCTTATAAACCCAACTTGTTTGCATGATTATGAATATTCAGGTAAATGTAAAATATTTCAAGTTGCTCTACAAAAACATCACGGACATATGTGTAGATGCAAACACATAAACTACACTGGTTAAACCCTTTACAACTCATGGCATCTATGTAGATTTTTTTATATATGTAATTTATTTAATTATTCTGGATCTGTCTTTTATAGATTTCCCTAATTAATATGGTTTAACCTCTTGTGCCATATTACCAAAAACTGATTATCTCAATGTAAAGCCTATTAGAATCACATCAAACATGTTTAGATGAAATTGTTTAAAGGCCAGAACTACTTTTGACTGACAATTGATGCTGCTTCCTGTGTTTACAGTGGTGTGTCTCAGTTTTTCTTTAAGGAATCATTTACAAAATATATTTTTCATTAAATAATAATAATAATTTATTCAGTACACAACATACATCTGTTTCATAAATAATTTTAATCAACAAAGTTTATTTTTTTCTCACATTGTTTTTTAATACTTTAACATTTTAAGTTTCAGTTGTAGTTGTTATACAAGCACATTAAATGGATTAAAATGACAAAAAAATTGAGAAATTCTAATCTGAACTAGAAATGTGAAAGATGGGTAGTTATAGCGTTAATGGGAACCAGTTTTTGAATTGATTCCCTTTAGATTTTGTCACTGTGAGACACCTGGCACAGTAATACACTGCTGTATCTTCAGCCTTTAAGCTGTTCATTTGTAGAAAGAGTTGACGTCTGGAATCGTCTCTTGAAATGGTGAATCTACCCTGGACAGACGATGCGTAATAGATAGGTGTACTAGCTGTGCTTATATAAGCGATCCACTCTAGTCCTTCCCCAGGAGCCTGGCGAACCCAGACCATCCTGTAGTCTCCAAATGTGAACCCAGACGCTGTGCAGGTCAGCGTGTGAGAAGCACCAGGACTTTTGATGACTGGGTCAGATTCTGTCAAGCAGTGTTGTGGTACTCGAGATCGGTCTTGGTGTCGAGACCAGTCTTAAGACCATTTTCTGATGGTCTTGGTCTCGCCTCGGACTCGACCGCATTTGGTCTCGGTCTTGTCTCGGTCTCGGGCTCTG